CAGTTAGAGCTGAGGAGGTGAGCCGTCCAAGCAGAGCGGTATCTCAGAGATAAGAGGAAAGAGGGACTGAGTTCTCACCGTGCTGTTTCGGACATCGATGTTGGGAAATTTCTTGTTGATGTACTTGATGGATGATTCCATGGACTTTTCCAGTAAGAAAGGCGGCTTGGATTTGGGGTCTGAACAAGTCTGTACAGATAAATCACACTATATTTCAACCCTTTCTCCTGCCCCTCAGAAACATACTTCCTCCTGCATCATTCATTCTCAGTCTCTTAGGAAAGACAGTCTGGGGGCTGGGGATATAGCTCAGCGGCGCAATTGCCTGTCTGCCAAGTGAAAGGTCCTGAGTTCAAGCCCAGGTACCAAAAAGAAAAAAAAAAAGGAAAGATAATCTGGGAATTAACTATAACAGCATGAGAGTAGGTCAGAACAAGGCCCAGGACAGTAAGCCAATTGAGAGCTAAATAACAACCTGGGAATCTTGTCTTGCTGGGTAAAGCTTGACATCTGCTTGGCCCTAGCACAAAGAGGAAGCAGTTTCCCTGCCCCTCAGCTGAAGCCGGAAGCAGTGAGCAAGCGTCTACTCAGAAGTCAGAGTTTGTGTAAGACATCGTCCATTATACACATACCTTATCCCAAAGGGCGTCTGTGGGGGACACGGGAACAGAGAAACCACGCTCCTAGTGATTTCTTACAAAATGCATGAAAGTTCTCTGCCCCACATCTTATCGTCTCTTCCAGGACATCCCACAATTGCCAGTCTTTCTCTGCTTATTTCCCATGGACTTGGGCAGCCCCTGACCCACCTCTTGCCCCCAACTTCTCCCAGTTTTTCAGTTTCCATCCTATACAGTATACACAAACAGAGCATGAGCTGCCTAAGATAAAGTGCCTCAAGAGGCACCTACCTTTTAAAAATCTAAGTATCTTTTTCCTTTAAGGAAACTGCTTCCATGAAAAAGTTTTTGCAGAGACTCCATTTTTAGATCTCCTCAAGAGATCCGGGCATGGTGGTGCACGCCTGTATTCCCAGCACTCGGGAGGCTGAGGCAGGAGGATCGTTGCAAATTCAAGACCAGCCTGGGCTACAAAGTGAGCTCAAGGCCAGCCTGAACTGCATAGCGA